AACTGAGGAAGGAATGAAACGTCAGAAAGAGTAAATATGCGCGTAAATTTAAGCAAATATTGACAGTATAAAACATGAGAAGGGTCATGCATTCACTGGCTTTCCACAGGTGGAAATCGAGGGCATCGGTTTCTCATGAGGCTGTGGACATCAACACTGAACAGAGTGTGGTCCTGCAGAGCAAAGGTCAAATCTCCCGGGAGTGCCACCTGCCCCACTCTGCCCCAAACCCTGAGAGTTCTAGCTGCTAGGGTGTGAATATGACAGACTGTCCCAAGACAGGACAGTCCATCTTCCAAAGCCCAGAGAGTAACCCTTGAGCGCAGGTGGGAACAAGTGGCCCAGCAAACACATGCACAGCCTACCAGGGCCTCTCAAAATGAGCTGGCGTGCCCAAGCAGACAGAACACGGTCCTCATGTGGCCCACAGGGTGGCAGGGATGTGCCGTTCTGCACGTCACACAGCAAGTGCCAGGGCTGACCAGGACACACCACCAGCATTTGGGGCCCAGCCAAAGAACAGCCTCCTACCTGTCTTCCCAGTGTGTCTGGTCTCCATGAGCTTGGCACTGTCACTAGGGAGTCCTGGAACCTGGGCCAGCCAGGATTCTGGCTTCTTGTCTTACTGCTTATCTCTGTAGCCCTTTTTGCTCAGAACTGTGTGTGAAATGGACCTGGACTGAAACCTTCTGGATAAGGGAAGGAAATGACAGGTTCCAATTGCATGGGCCCTTCCTACCCCTGAGGCAACACCTGAGCAATGGCCCATGGGATCCCCAGCTCTCAAGCAGCCAAAGGCAGAGGTGCCAAGAGCCAGGCCAGGGAAGGCCCCAGAGCCTTTCAGCCTGCCCTCCCCTGGTTGAAGGCTGCAGGACACGTGAGTCCTGTGCTAGGTGCTCTGAGGAACACAGACGTGAGAACCCCCTCCTTGAGTTAACCCTCTCCTAGGGGAGAGAGCACATCATGCAGACTCTAGTTATGTGCCCTCTAGCTACATCCTCAACCACAGAATGTCACATGACCAAAGGGACAAGGAAGATGTTCTTTACTAACTTCTCTGAGATGGAAGACGGACTGTTATTGACAAGAGCAAGGTGAGGAACAGTGGTACAGCAGTGCACTGTGCTATCCCTGTGTGTGTTGAGGGATGGGAATATGTCAGCATGTGTGTTGATCTGTGCATAGCCTACCTCTGGAAGGAGCCAAGAAGCTGGCCCCGAAGGTGGTCTTGCAATTGGAAAGTTGGGAGTGAAGGAAATTTTTCTTCCCCTTTTAACACCTTTTGCATTCTGAACCATGAATCCTTTACAAACTCAAAAAAATAAAGTAAAATATATAAAGGTACACTTAAATAGCTAGACATTATATGGATCATTATATAACCACTGAAAATAATGTCTGCAAAGGATTGTTCTGAACATGTAACAGAAATTTAACAGAAAAACAACCAAAAGTTGACAGTGATTAAGTGATTTTTACTTATTTATTTTGATTTTCAGTGG